TTATTTAAGTTCAAAGCTAAGAAGTGCTTATTTTAAGCAATAACAAACACTTCTTAACTTTTACAGCTATTCACGTTTTCCAAAATCACTTCCAAAAGTGCTTTTTAAGCAAAAGCAGCTGCAAACACTCCCTAAGTTGTTTGTGCCACGAAATAGGTTGTTTGTTAAATGATTTTTTTTAGATATATAAATCATTGTGTACATAAAACATTATTGATGATTTTAATCAGGGGTGTGTTAATAGAGGTTATAAATTACGAGTAGTATACAAGACCTTGTCATGAAACAACCTATTAGAATACTCTTACACTCAAAATCAAATAATGGCTGATGATCATAAAACTCTTGAATAGCAGAATAGGGAACACTTTGAAATGAGAATGCGTTAGCATTAGGTATGACACATATTTTGTAGATTTCTTCGTTGTACGTGTATATCATGAATTTTACTTCAGTAATGATTGTAAATTTATGAATTAAGTCTTTCCAAATTCATCATATTTGCTTATTAAGGATGTAAACCTTCTTCTTTACGGAAAAAAAAACTATCCTCCTGAAAATATCCAAAAATTTATTTCCCAAGTCGTATCTGATCTTCTCAGAATTGGAATAATATGGTAGTTAGGTACCTCACTTGTCCTCTTTTTAAAAACTCAGGATATATTTGGGAGTTAGGTTTTGGAAGGGAGGAGATGATTAACAAGGGTTAAAACCTCACATTTCCTTTCATGTTTGGGAATTAAAATTATGGAAGAGATTGTTGGAAAAATGTGTGAAAATCTGCATTAAATGGTAATTTTGGGACAAATTTTTTGAGTGGGGTCCACTTCCGATTTGGGTCGGGTCAAAGTGGTTTCGGATTGTCCTTGTTAAGGACTACAATTCGATATATGGTACGCTCAAAACGGATAACGGATGAATGAGAAATCGCTTTTCGAAGTTTACCCGTTAGAATGGAAAAACTGGGAAAAAGGATGGGTTTCTAGTGTGTTAATTTCCCACACCGGAAAACCCAAGGGATTTGCAACTCTTTATAAAGGGACCACCCCCCCTTATGGAGTTAAGATTCCTAAGGGTAAAGGCTCTCTCCACGCGTGCAGGAGGGGTGCAAATCAAATCCCGAAATCGGAGAAGAAAAACTGCGACTTGCGTGCGCGGGCGACCTGCGGACACGAATGTCGTCCAAAAATCTATCTCTTAAGAGATACGGTTAATTTTTGTTTTCTTCCTGAAACGTTTATTTTTTCCCAATGACAGAAGTGCCTAGCGGCAGAGACGCTCCGGACAGAAGGGCTCGACCAGAACACCTCGGTATGGTGTTCTGGTGGCTCCGAACAGAAACCCTCGACCGTCTTCTGTCCAACGTAATAAATGCCCAACGTTCTTATCTTTTAATGCAGCGTTAAATGGACAGTTCATGGATGATTCAATGCCTTACGGACCGGTCATTGATGTCCAACGTTCAGGTCCATTAATTCATCATTTACACACAACAAATCCTCCTATATAAAGGCTGGCAGGTGGTTTGCAACAACACACGTTTTTTCACGTTCTTGCTTACACGAGCTCACGTATTTCTTCAGCTAAAAACACCTCCAGTCTCTCTGAAAAATTCCTGAGTGTTCAGTCTTTGTTCATGTTCGCTGGAACTCTTGTTTGTGTGCTCAAACATTAGTTCGTAGTCATCGTATCCTGAGAAACTATTGTTGCAACGCTCCTAGCACCGTGGGAGGCAACAAATACGTTTTAAGGACATCGTGCGTGGCACGAGCTTTGACTAATTCTGCTTCATCTCCTTTCTTGTTTTTCTCTAGTCATTTTAATTAATTTATTTTGATTAATTTTCTTTATTTTCCGAAACACACCCAACATAGATGATTTTGGAGAGCTTCAAAACCTTCAAAATCCTTCAAATGCACAATTTTCAAGTTCCCCAAATTGAGAGATTTTGAAGAATAACTAATTAAATGGCAAGTTAAAACTCAATTTCAAATAAATATAAATTCAACTATTTGAATTTGTCATATACTCCCTCCGGTTTTTAATAAACTTCACACTTTCTTTTTGGGACGGTCTAAAATAAACTTCACACTTCCTTATTTCCTTTTTTGGCAAAGAAATCTACGTCAAAACAGTGCCAAACAATGTCAAACAGTGTCTCAACAGTGCCAAACAGTGCCTCAACAGTGTACTGACTGTACTCTACAGTAAAGTCAAATTTCTTTCCTTATTTTGTGTGAAGTCAAAGTGTGAAGATTAAATAAAACCCGAGATAGTATGTGAAGTGATTTTAATAATAACACATCCAAAACCTTTATCTTTTCAAACATGTTACTCCCAAACAAGAGGAAGGTTTTCCTCCCCTTTTCCTCCCATTCCAATGACCAACCTTCAAAAGCTTCCTCCCTCTTTTCCTTCAAACTCCGAAACATACCCTAAGATTAACCCTATTGTTCAAAACAAATCAAAAAATTATTTCACTATTTCCTTAGTTGGTCACTATTTTCTCAAAAAGATCGAATTGGATGAAAACCTCCGTTCTAGCTACTCACTGTCTCCATCACTGTGAATTACTACCTCCAATATTCTTCGGCATTTATTGTTCTACCTCGTTTTTTACAATATAAAGACGTTACAATCGGAATGAAATGACAAAACGTGATGGCTCAACGCGTGCAAGGGTGTTACAAAAATTGGGTTTGTAAGCACCCTTTATATTCATTCTTATAAGTTATATAACCGTTATTGTGAGAAGGTTATTTTTTTGTCCGTAAATCTCGTTCATAAACAAAAAAATAATTGTCTCATATTTACGGATATAAGAGTGAATATAAGAATGCATACAAATAATAAAAGTGATTAGAGTAACACCTCAAAGTCATCATGTATTAACATATAACCCACATTATAAAAAGCTTTAATGTGACTGGAGAAATAATTAGTTCTAAGCGTGGCACCTAACCAAACGGCGCGTCATCAAAATTATTTCACACAATTGTAATCACAAAATTGGTATGCATTTAATAAACAAAATAATGACAAAAATCAAGCAAAGATGTTGCTTTAAAAAGACTGACAGCACGACTTTATTGATGCACATAAAAAAATCCTTTAATAGTACTCATGAAAAAATGATGAATAAAAATATGACTTGATGATTTTTAGTGACTATAATATTCAAAGTTACTATATGTAGTGACTACAATGTAAATTTTGAAGGCAATGCTAAAAATTACGAATTCACATTTTGATTCATGATTTTTTTTATTAATCATATTTTAAGAAAGCTAAGTGAGTGTTTGCGATTGCTTGTGCTTTTTAAAAGTGATTTTTTTAATAGATTATTGGAAAAATGATTTGTAGTAAAAGTTGGTAGTGTTTGGAAATAGAAGTGATTTTAATTAAAATGTAAAAGTTGGAGTGTTTGATAAAAAAATGATTATGATGGAATAATTTTTTCAAAAGTACAAAATCACCCTTTAAACTTTTGGACATAGGGAGGGTATACGAATAAAGTTGGGGGGTTAGGGGATTTATTTGCCATTATTATTAGTCATAAAGTTGGAGGTAATTACAAGTTTACCTAGAAGTTATTAGAAGTTGTTATGCTCTAGCTTTTAGATTTTGACTTTAAAGCACTTTTTTAAGCAAAAGTTAGGATTACCAAACACCCTTTTCGGCTTTTTTTAATCTAAAAACTCCAAAGCACTTTTTTTAAGCAAAGGAAAACACCCCCTAAGTCATTTATATATGATGCGTAACAACCCCACGGAATGAGTAGTTTGCTAAACAAAGTTCGTTTAGGATGAATGAAAAATGTCAATAATAAAACACATACATATGTACTACTCATTTATTAATTTAGTACTCCACAACATTGAATTATGTCATAATCAAGTAAATAAAATTGAAATTAATTTCATGCTATTTTTTCAAACATTTTAGTTATTTTGTCATATAACTTATTTTTTGTTTGCATTAATACAATATACTTAGAAAAATAAAGTAATTTATTCACAAAGGAAAATAGAAACTATTTTAAGATTTCAAAATAATTGAAAATAAAAATAAAAAATAAGATGATTTTTTTAAATTATTTTTTTTAATATTAAGAAGAACTGTCGTTTGAAAATCATAATATCGTAATACAATTTATGTTTAACTAATTTAATTGTTATATACGGAGTATTAGTTTGTCTGTGAACAAATTATGATATTTTGTAGGTAATGTAAATTTTAAGGGGCTTTCTATAAACATTACTCCCTCCGTCTCACTAACAATGGGACAAGAGGAAGTGTCACGCAAATTAATAAAAAGTGGTTTATGTGGTTGATATCGAATGGATAAAGTAAGAATAAAGTAAGAATGATTTAGAGCCACAGAAACTTTACCAAATTTGGTATGGGACAATCTTAGTGGGACGGACTGAAAAGGTAAAATGGACAATCTTAGCGGGATGGAGGTAGTATAATAAAAAAGTTATAGGACAAATGTGACTTATTAACCATTAGTGATTAATTGTGTTCAAAGTTTATTTGGTAGTGATTTATATGTAGTTACAGCAATGTAAATTTTGAATATAATTATAGTTACGACTTATGACTACGAAGTTATATCTTGTCCATCATTTTTTCAAAAGTTATATTAATGGAATTGTTTTCAAAATTTCATTCTTTTTAATACTCCCTCCGTCCCAAAAAGAAGTTCGCAATCACTATTCATTGGTCAACTTGAACCACTTCTAATCTTTTACTTTTTATATCAAATTTTTATCAAATTTAAATTTTCTTGATCAGGCTTTGTAGCGGGTTTAATGTAGTTTCTGAATATGTAAACTTTATTTACTAAAAATAATCTGAATGTGAACAAGGATCGAGTTGCTTTATCGTCAGTCAAGCATTGTAAACCGTACGGGAACTTCATTGCCGGACGGTGGGAGTATTATATAGCAGCACGGTTTTGTTTTGAGGCTAGAAGTATATTTTTCTCATCTTTCATTCTTTCTCACCTAATTTAGATTTTTTTCTAATCCAAGTGAAAATGGAAAGTGACCAGTGCTTTTCCAAGCGCATTTATCTCTATAATAAACGTTTGTTGTTGTATGAGAAGCCGTATGAGTTGTGTAGTTGTATCACCGACACGACGGGACAAATGTGGTTGGTGACTGGCGAGTGACGAGTGCTCGAAGAAATCAAATCTGGTGATCCATAACTCAGCTTCTCATCTCTTCTTCAAAGGTGATAACTTTTCTATTGAGTTCATTCCGTTTTTAATTTCATGTTTTTCTTTAAACAATTTAAATAATGTGGTTTATTCAGAATCATAATGCGCGGTTTTATACGTTTGATCTTCGATCTTTGGATCCCATGAGTAAGAATCGCTGTAATGATTTTGACCTACGATTCTGAATAAGGAAAGATTGGAATGAGTGCTGGTTAATGGATGAATCAACGTCTGTTGGAAGAAGAGAGCAAATCATTTTTTACTGAGTCGTTGTAATGTTTATTTTGTAGTTTGTATTGAATAATGGGAGTTCTAATTTCTAAATTGATTGAGTGAAAAGTATATGGTCATTTCTGCGGCTGAAATGACTATTTGAGTTTGTCATTTAAGCTGCAATCTGCTCAACCAGCCAAAAAAGCAATGGCTGGACAGATTTTGCTTTACTGCAAGTTGTTGTAAGGAAATCATGGTGATTCCTGACCAAAATTTCAGGCTAGCCCATTTAAGCACACTAAACACACACTTATTTTGAAGTAATGGAGAGACTAGAGCTTTGAGACATGGCAGCCTGTATTTACCCTTTTTAGATAATGTCTTGTGCTTTTTGGTGAATATAGGTTTCTCTTGTTTTTTTTTTGTGGCCACGAGTCCAAGACAGAAACAAGACTTGATGGCTTCGGAGAGGGAAGACTTCTACATTTCCGGGCCCCTCCATCTAAATGCTTGTAACTGGTAAGCTAGATCTTAAAGCCCGTTTGGTAAGCTTACTTTTAGACTTCTAAGCATTGTCAACAAGATTTTTACTAAACACCAACTTTTTGATTTCATGCATTAAGTTGGGTAATAATAATAAAAGGTAAGGTTGTAGGTGCTTTTCGGGTTGAATTGGGTAAGTTCAGTGTTTTTCCATTTTCTTTATTTTATTAATAATTTTGGCACTTTAGTAGATTCAGTCAATATAGCAACTTCACAGACTTATTCTTACTATAGAGGCTTTTAATCTGGTATTGTTTTAAATCAATTACTTACAAACTTGAGGTTTTTTATTATCGCTATGACACATAGTTTTTGAGATTGTGCATGGTGCAGCCCAACAGAGCAATCCCTATCTGATCCCCTCACTCCCTCTAATCTGTGTTCTCTAGTAACTATCCATTAACTACATAAATGCATTGTACTCACCAATGAATGATCATCTAGCAATCTGATAAGGTAAAACACAGTAAATTCCCTCTCTGTTATGGTCATTTAGCAGCAATCTACTAAGGTTTGCTTTTCATTTTATGATAAACTCATCACCTTAAATAGCATTTTCATTCATAGGTAGATTGTGTTCTGAAAATCCCCGCCCAGTACTAGATTCCTCTTGCCTGACTGTTTTTTAGGTGACCACGCCGAATTTGCCTATTCCCAGTTTGGCCTTGCCTAGGCGCTGTTGAGATTTAGGTTTCCTCCTAAAAGATCTTAGTGAAGGAATATCTCTACGCCATTTATATGGGTTGTACTTTTAGATTTAGCCAATGTGAGATAACTTACTAAGCGCTAGAACCTATTATCCCCCGCCTAGTGTTTTTTAGAAGATTGCTCATTGTATTTCTTTTTGCAATAAGAAAATGCAAATGTGAGTCGTAGTCCTGAAACTTCTTACCATTGTAGGGATAACTTGGAGAATAGGAGATCTATTGCTGCATGTTTGGTTCAAGGCGTCTACATTTTGGAGAGAGATCGACAGGAGAAGCGGCAGGGGACTGAGGCTCTAGCTCCTCCATGGTGGGAATCCTTCCAATTCAAGTTATACCGCCAACTTGTTGACAATGAAGATTCCTCCATCTTTGGAGCCGTTTATGAGTACACAGGTGTTGCATGCAATAGCAACAAAAGAGTTACATGCCACGTCATCGCTTTCCGAGGGACCATTACGAAGGGAGACGCATTTTCCCGGGACCTAGAATTGGATATCCACATCATAAAAAACGAACTCCATTTCTCGTCTCGTTTTGAGACTGCCATCCAAGCTGTGCGCAACATGGTGGCAACTTTTGGAGGATCAAATGTATGGTTGACCGGTCATTCCCTTGGTTCTGCCATGGCAATGCTCGCGGGCAAGACCATGGCGAAGACGGGTGTGTTTCTTGAAGCCTTTTTATTTAACCCACCCTTCTTTTCAGCCCCAATTGAGAGAATTAAGGATAAGACAGTCAAACATGGGATCCGAATTGCAACCAGCGTTGTCACAGCCGGTCTTGCATTTGCAGCGTCAGTCAAGAAGAGTAATAACAACCGCGACAAGAATGTGGCAATAGACTCCTTTGCCGCAATCTCCAAATGGGTCCCGTGTCTGTTTGTGAATCCAGGAGATCACATTTGCTCGGAGTATATTGGGTATTTTGAACATAGGAGAAAGATGGAGGAGATAGGGATAGGGGCAATAGAGAGATTAGCAACGCAACACTCGCTCGGGGGTCTTTTTATGAACTTTTTGGGGAAGGACTCCGAAGAACCACCAATGCATCTTATTCCTTCAGCAGCTTTGACAGTTAACTTGACCCCCTCGCAAGACTTCAAAGAAGCTCATGGAATTCACCAATGGTGGAGACCTGGATTGTCCTTAGATTCTAAAACCTACATGTATAGTTAAAATGATGTCTCTATTTATGATTTTATGTGGCTCTTGACACATTATTGTGGGTATTAGCATCCCAAACTCAATTACTCCATTAAATTGCTGTGATTCTTATCTTTCCCTGTGATTCTAAATTTCTAATAGCATTCTCTGCTATTCTTATTGCTGTGTTTCTTATGGCTTTGTTGATGTAATATACAACAGCTGTGAGATAAAAATCTGACCTCATGTGTAAGAAAAATAACACAATGGAATTGCTCTTTGAAATGCAAAATCTAGTCTATTATTGGCTCAAAGTGAATAAGTAGTAAACAAGAAAACAGAAAAGGGTTAAAAAGACCACTGCACAACTTCATAGTCATACTCTAACTCTCTGTGCTAAAATAACTAATACCGGAAAAGCATGGCACAACACTAAGGTAAGCGAGTACAACACCGTAACCTTAAGGTCTTGTTTGGTTCAGAGGGGAGGGATTGGGAGAGTCAAGGGGGGAAGAAAAGGGAAGGGGAAGGAAAGATTTTGATAAAAATTTGTGTTTGGTTGGAGGAAATAGGAGGAAAGGTTTAATGAAAATATTTTTCCAATGTGAATAGATACATCTCTAACTATTGTGAATATTACTCCCAAAGTCATAATTCATAAAAAAAATTATTTTTTATTTTTTTATTTTTAAATTTTTAAATATTTAAAATTTTAAAATTTTCAATTTTTTAAATTTTTTAATTTTTAATTTTTTTTGTTTTTTATTTGTTTTTTGAATTTTTATTTTTTTATTTTTTTTTTTAATTTTTTTATTTTTAATTTTTTTAATTTTTTAATTTTTTAAATTTTTTATTTTTTACATTTTCTATATTATAACTTTTTGTCCATTCACATAGAAGATAAATAGTTTGTGGTTATCAACATGTTTCCTTCAAAATACCCCGATTTGGGGGGTTGAGGATGGGAGAAAGTGGATGATTTTGGAAGCCTTCTATTTTTTACATTTTCTATATTATAACTTTTTGTCCATTCACATAGAAAATAAATAGTTTGTGGTTATCAACACGTTTCCTTTGAAATACCCCGATTTGGGGGTTGAGGATGGGAGAAAGTGGATGATTTTGGAAGCCTTCTATTTTTTACATTTTCTATATTATAACTTTTTGTCCATTCACATAGAAGATAAATAGTTTGTGGTTATCAACACGTTTCCTTCGAAATACCCTGATTTGGGGGTTGAGGATGGGAGAAAGTGGATGATTTTGGAAGCCTTCTATTTTCCAAAGTTCAAACAATTATTGATTGGCCGCAACCAAAGACAGTGACTGCCTTGAGAGTTGAGAGGATTCTTGGGTTTGGCGGGTTGTTACCGCAAGTTTATACATGCTTATGGCGACACAGCTGCACCCCTAACTAATCTGCTCCTCAATAACAATTTTGTGTGGAATGTTGAAGCGAACAATGCATTTCAGGAGCTCAAGGTTGCACATTCAAATTTCAGCGACACATTCCAGGGACACATTCATTGTGGAACGCGATGCTTCTGGATTTGAGTTTGGGGCAGTCCTACAACAATATGATCATCCCGTTGCTTATCTTAGTCTGCGAATAGCGCCCGCCACATCAAATTAACAGCCTATGAAAGAGAGCTAATTGGATTGACCAAGGTCGTTACACACCGGTGCCCGTATCTGTGGGGGAGTGAATTTCTCATTTGGACATACCACTCAAGCCTTAAACGTCTGTTATACCAACGACTCTCTACCTCTCCACAGCAACATTGGTCCGGTCAATTGATGGGGTACCATTTTCGGGTTAAATACAAGCCTTGGAGATTGAACAAGGTGGCAAATGCTCTTTCAAGACGAGACGAGAATACTGTCAAGCTTAAGGCCATCTCTTCTCCTCACATTGACTTGTTTGATCACATCCGCCAAGAGGTTAAAACTACTCTTGAGTATGCTGCCCTAGAAGCCATGATCACAGCAGGGGATCAGGCATTGACTGGAGCTTGCGTGATGGCCTAGTATGGTACCGGGGGAAAGCCTTCCTCATCTCTACCTCAGCCACCATCCCTACCATTTTGTCCACCTTTCATGACATGGCTCATGAAGGCAATGAGATAACACTTCACCGCATTAGGATGTATTTTTATTGGGAAGGCATGAAGCGAGACATTTCTAATTTCTTTAAAGATTGCCAAATTTGCCAGCAACACAAATGGTCAAGCCTCCAACCTTTTTGGGCTACTTCAACCCCTGCCTATTCCATGACATGTATGGTGCGATGTGTCCATGGATTTCATCGAAGGGCTCCCCAAATCTAGGGAAAGTTGGTAATCATGTTGGTGGTGGATAAATTCTCTAAATCAGCCCATTTTATTGCTCTCAATCACCCTTTTACTGCCATTTTAGTGGCAATATTGTTTTTTGCTGAAACTTTTAAATTTCATGGTTTGCTAGAGTCCATCGTTTCATATCGAGACAAAGTATTTATGAGTCAATTTTGGAAGGACCTGTTCCGTTTAAGTGGCACTAAGTTGTCCTTCTCTTTGACCTAACACCGTACCCACAGCGCGACGAACAAACAAAGTGGTGAACCGCACACTTGAGATGTTCTTACGTTGTTTGTCTAGTGATTTACCTAAACGGTGGATCCAGTGGTCGCCTTAGATGGAACATTGCTACAACACCTCTTTCCACTCTTCCTTAGGTGACACGCTCTTCTGTGTGGTCTATGGGCGGGATCTTCCATGTTCACTTTCATATCCTGCAAGCACAACAAAGATGAATGTCATGGACAGGGCGTTCGTTGAGCAAAAATCGAATGAAGCACGCCTACAACAAAAATCATAGAGATTTGGAGTTCAGTGTGGGTGATTGTGTGTGACTTCGCATCCATCCATACAGACAACTCTCAGTCATGAAACAACACCATAAACTCTCCTAAATAATTTGATCAATTTCTACTCGGAGCCAATGTTGGCCGGTCGCCTACAAGCTAGAGTTGCCACCATACTCAAACATTCATTATGCGCTCCACGTGTCTCTTCTCAAGCTGCACCATGGGGACATTACCTATGTTGTATGAGGATAAGGCCTTACCCACTCCAAAATTGGTCCCGCCCAGTAGGAGCACACGTGATGTGCTCATCCACTGGCAAGGTTACTAACTGCATGTATGCATTATTTTGGAATAAATTAAAAGGACTAATTAACCTTCCCATGTCCCTACCTATAACCTGTTTTTTCCAAACTAGTGTTATTATACTTAATTAGCTCGCATATATATAGGAATGAGTTCAAATGAGAAGACATCTTAATGCTTGAAATGAGTATTGATTTTAGCCGTCCAAACTATCGATCTTATGCACAATAACCCCTATCTGACACACTTTCGCATAAACCTTATTTGATTATTTGATGCATTTTTTGAAAATATGAATACATGAAATAAAAGGTAACGTACATTCTGTATAAGGATTAATCTCTTAGCTTGTATGATTTTAATTCTCTTCACCTTAGCTAAGCCATGAAATATGTGGGTGACATGAATCGAGTTTCCAAGTCTACCTCTTAAACTTGCCTAGCTTGTGGACTAAGCTAGCGGTGTCTTCATTCTCCTTGAGCTATATAAGCACAGCGACAGCAGTCTTCACAAGTTGCTTCTCAAAAGCTAATAAATGTAAAGGTAAAAATGTAAAATATGCTGCTAAAAAGTAAAAAGTCAAATGAAACTAATCATTGAAGGAAATTGATAGAGTATTAATTCTAGAGAGAAGTGAGAGCTAGAGGGAGAAAGTGAGTAATTATATTTCTCAACTTGGAACCCCCTATAATTAGCCCTTTGGGGTCTATTTATAGGTAAAAATGTGGATTTGGGCCCCTAGCCTTGGGCTTAGGAGGCCCATTACAATAATTATGCCTTCTTTGGGCAAATAAGGCCACTAATGGGCTGAGTACAACACTTAGTACAAAAAATAGGAAAATACATTCTGCCCGGACGAAGTCCAGACGATGCGGTCCATGGACGATGCGGTCCATGGACGATGCGGTCCATAGACGATGCGGTCCATAGACGATGCGGTCCATGGACGACGCGGTCCATGGACGATGCCGTTCTTGGATGACGCGGATCCTGGGCGATGTCTTCTCTCTTGGACGTCGCACGCTTGTGGTCGATGCGGGTGTCCTGCTGGTGTTTTTTGGGCCGTTGAGTATGTGGGCCATGGGGTCCAGGCCCATATACTCTATCAGAAATAATTTAGAATCTTCCATTTGGCATCACTTGAAAGAGAAATGCAGCCAATACATAGAGCCATACAGGTTATGGGTGGACCGGTTCCGGTTCGGGCCCGGGCCCGGCCGGGCCTCGGTTCGGAAATGGGAGGCCGGAACCAGCCCGGGTAATCCCGGGTCCGGGCCGGGCCGGGCCTCGGTTCTATTTTTTTTTTCTTTTTTGACTTTTCCTAATTAACCCCCAACCCTCCCCCCTCACCCCCAAACCACCTCAAATGGCCCAAAATACCAAGTCCAACCCAAAAACTTAAAAAAAAAATCAAAAAAAAAAAATTAATTTGGCCCGAACCGGGCCCGAACTGGCCGGGCCAGTTCGCCAATCAAAGGGCCCGGGCCCGAACCGCACAGTAACCGGGCCGGGCCGACCCGAACCGCCCCCGGACCGGTTCCCGGGCCGGGCCGGTTCAAACAGTAACCGGGCCGGGCCGCCCGGCCCGAGTCCATCCCTAATACAGGTAGACCAAAGAATGCAGTAACGCCGTAACGGGTAGAAATGATGAATATTTCATTAGTTTTTTTTTGAAAACTATTTCATGAAATAAAATCCATGAAAATTTTGTTCACTAGCAGAATCTCAACTGCCTTTTGGTCCAGCACAATACACTGCATGTTTGGTGTATGTGTATCAGTGTATGCAACCACAATTGAAGTAAACACAAGAGACTAGTGATTATGCAACTATAGTACATACCAGTAATTTATCAAAAATTCTTTTGTTTTGTTTACACCAACAGAGAGCAATGAGATGAATAAAAACTTTCCGATTACAGATTGAAAACTATCCTGTAAGTATGATAACCATTTCTAAATGAGATTATACAAAAGTCTGGAAGAATCAATAAAGAATGAAAGAATGAACAATTTCAACCATTTTTTCAAGTGGGTTTT